ATGAGATCACCAAATCAAATCAAATCAGTTGAAAGTCTCGGGTTTGGGATAGCTCAGACATGAATCGGTTGTAGATAGTGCGTGAGCTCAAAACTAATCAATTTTCCTATGTATCTATGGCCTCAAAAGTGACCCTACATCCTGTAAGATGTAGTTCTTGAACTCTTATCTGGACCGTCGGGGAATTTACTTTCCTACGTCACCTACTGTCCTAAGTGCCACAACTATATTTTTTACTCATAACAAACGAAGAAGCGTTCGAGGTTGATCGAGTTCTTTTTGGATGCGCCATGCATTCAGTTTTCTTTTAGAATTGTAGTCCTATCTCGAACGCGATTTGACCTATAGAGATTTCGTACGCATGCTAGTGTACAGCTCTGTTTTTTATCCTTCCGGAGAAAGTCCGTACCAATTAGTCCAGCACAGATGGAAGGTTTGGTTGGCAGGGTCGGTCCTATCGTTGGGACTTTTTGCAAAATTTTTACGACCCCCCTCCTTCACGACAGATTTCATACGACCCCTTCTTCACAACTTATTTTTCCCTCAAAAACACCGTCGAGCGGGGGGGGGTATATAGCCACCACCACGAAACCGCAAAAATTTCCTCTATTTCCCTGGCAGGACAGCATGGCTGTGATAAGCAGCTTCACTTGTCACCTCCCTTCTGCCTCACCTCTATTATGTCAGGTTGAGTCATAGTAAGCAAGTACCTATTTATTCATACATGCGCCATCTTTCCAAAAAATATTCGTGTTGTTCCCAGCAAGGGGTTACGTGGCGACCTTAGTATCCTTTCATGTTACGAAATTTAACCGTCTCTAGGATAAAATAATGCCGTTTATTTCAACTACAATTCGATATGGCTTACTTTTCAAAATCCGTCTGGGGCGCGGGAGAAGCCCGCCCTAGAGGGGAAGGGGAGACAAGGGCACATAGTGAAAAATTGCGAATCGCTATAAAATTTCTCAAAACTTCACAAATTTTCGAGAAAATTTCGCAAAAGTTCCTAAGAATCCTTCTCAACAGTCAGTGTCTCTCGCTCGTCCTCTTCACCCTCTTCTTCACTTTCCAAAATACACTACCAGCTCCATCCAGTACGTCGCTAATGTTGGTCCACTTTGATTCCAAGTTCTACCAACCTACCACAGTGGTGAGGCTTAGCCTTGAACTCAACCTTACCGTTTAAATATCCAACGGAAGAACCTTTACAAACTAAAAAAAACAAAAAAAATCGCGCTACATTCTATTGAAGTGCATCATTCTGTAATTGGATTACACTCATTGCCCGCCACTTACGCGTATCTAAAATCAAAATCATTCGTTGGAGTCCATCCATTGTACACACGAGAAAACCTATAGCTTTGAGAAATGGACCGTAGTCCCCTCGACTGTTACGTGTGTGGAAGGTAAGTTGAGATTCCGACACAATTTTATGAAATGAAGGTGAGGTATCGGTTTCTCCCATAATTTAGTTCACCAGTAACGTCAGATGGTTTTTTTTGTTTGGAGGGTGTTTCCGAAAAAGGGTTTTCAAGGGTTTTTGGGTCAGAGAAGTAGAAGCTAAGTTCGAGCACAATAAACTTGACTTGATAGCTAGTAATTGTAATATTTGTAAAAAGCTTTGCTCCCATTCCATTCTGCCATTCTGCTTGCTGGCTTGCATACGGAGGCGTTAGAGATCGCTCAACTTCTCGCATTCTACCAGCGTGGTCCAAGGGAATTTTATTCGTAAATAAACGTGAATCCTGACCCATACATATTTTTGAACTCAAAGGCATAGTGCTCAGAAAATAAACCTCTTCATAATTTTTTGAGTCTGAGGCTAACGTCGACAAAAAAAAAACATTAAAGGGATTGGGGAAAATTTTTTTTTAGAAAATCTCGGTAAATATCAAAAAAAAACTTGCAGAAATCTCAAAATATCGCAAATTCATGAGGAGACCTATCTTGAACTTTCATGGGTCATTACCTTCGAAGAAGTTTCATAGAAAATTTCTACGAAGGGAAATGATCAAGAATAAATGACGAGAGGCAGGCGATGAGGGAGGCAGTGGTAGGTGTTGGTGTTATTCCTCCTGATTCTTCTCTGAGTTTTCAGGAGCTGTCTTCTCCGTATTCGCCTGTCTACATTCTTATGCTCAGCAATGTTCACCTTGGGGGTTGTGTTGCTCAACGGCAAGCACGAGCTCGTCCAGCTCATTAGCTCCGGACACTCCAGACCATCTCGCTGAATTTCTTATCGATACGTCACATGAAACAGCTGAAGTGTGTGCCAACTGCGATCAGGTCAGTTTTCCCATCAATTTTGAGATTCGGCTAGTAGAATTTTTAGCTTGACTTCTAGACCAAGCAGCCGATGTATTACTGCGAGACCTGCCAGCAAGCACTTTGTCATGATTGCCGAAGTACTAAAAAGAAAGAAAAAAAAAAGAGATTACACATAAGGTTTGTAGGGCATTACATATTCCTGTATGAAAGCCGAGGCTCAGTCAAGGCTCTTCTTGGGATGCGCCATGCCTTCCACACCCTTTCAGAATCGCGGTAGCATTTGAGTAAAATGCAGGGTATACAATGACTCTGGGACAGACACTCTTTTAATAATCTCACATCGTCGAAGAAGTATGGAAGACGGATGTGATTCAGGAATTATGTCACTTTTCTTTTCAGGCCCGAATGTTTTCCGCGCACCGGTCGTCGGTTGCGAGAGTCACGCAGCGCGTACGCGGTCGCGTTTCTTGTGCGCAGCATTCTGAGCCTTATATTCTCTACTGCACGGAAAACAAAAGTCTGGCATGCATTCAGTGTTTCAACGAACGCCCAGCGGAAGACAGGTATGCCATAAAACATAGATCGATTCCTTAAAAATTTTATGTGGTATGTTGACGCGAGCGGTCGCGTTACGTAGTTTTGGATCAGTCCAATAAAATAGGGCCTGTATTGTAATGAATGAACACAAACATTCAGAATGGAATAAAACCTGAAAGAGTTTCGTAAATAAGCTCTCAGGGTGGGCAGCCCTTGCGGGCTGTCATCTTGCCTTTGAACCGCGACGCGACCGCGCGTAACAAGTTTGAACCAAAATGCGTGGGTCATACTGCGCAATGCGAGCGATAAAATTGAACTTTATTGTCTTACTTGGATTATAAAGAATTTCTAAAGTGCTATTTCAGGCATTACTTCGTTTCGATCGATGCTGGCTACAAGTCATGCACAGAGAAGATCGAGAAATGGGCTATGAAGCTTCGATTATACCAAGTTTGTGGCACTTCTTGCCCGGATTGTTGTCCAGTATATCACCAAACCATCTAGGAAGGGCTTATTATTCTTCTACCGGTTTGGATCTTCGAATCAAAGCGTGTGCCGCACAGGAATCCAGGCGAGGGCTGAAAAAGCACTGCAAATGCGCGATTCGCCGCGCCCACTCCGGCGTTTATCTCGCCTACTCCGGCGTTTCGTCCAAAAACCTTGACCTCTCTACACCTCGCCGACCTTTTGGACTAGTTCCCAGTCACGGGCAGTCTCGGAACTGAACCAGAAACATTGGGGACGACCCGTCATTGTGGGTGAGCTTCCGTGCATCCATCTGTTAGGAACGGCGGACTGACGGTCACGACAAATCGTCAGTGACTTAACACCCGGTAAAAGGTGTGAGTCAACGGTCCAGGTGCCGGTGGTTTCTTCCGGCCTAGCAGTAAAGGAGACTCTAGCACTAGAAGGGCACAATCGTGAGTGTGGGCAATGTATGCTATACGAAGTTATTACGGTGCAATCATGAGAGAATGCTCAGAAGATAATGTGCATAGTTGCGGATATATTTGAGGTTGGCATTTCTCGTTAAAGGCACAACCCAGGCAGAGGTTTTTATAACTCTTCTCTTCGGTCAGAAGTATAGAACCCTAGGGGACAATCACAAATGTGGCGTTCACGTGCACGGAATTCGACCGACAAGAACGCTTTGGGCTTGCAAAGTAAGCTGCTCGAGCTGCAGCGAACGAGCTCTCTTATCAGGCCGTTGTCTGGTGCTCTCTCATCTGATGCGCTCTCTCGCCCCATACTCTCCTCTTCGCGCTTAGTCTCTCGTTCCTTTAGCACAGCCAATTAGGAAGGTGAGTGAGCCCTCAACCTGAGCGTTTTCGACGGATTCTTTTCCTTTTTTCTTCACTGCCGGCCCACTTGGCACCGATACATTCACATTCGTGTGCAAGAGCCACACCAGTGCGATCCTGGGGCATGCCTTTAAGCAAAAAAATAATAGGGGAAGTTCGTCCCCTTCTTCTCATGTTGCATCTTCACCTGCACTGAACTTGGATGCACGCCAATTCTGAAGGATTATCGGTGCCTTTCTGGTACTGATGGTCCGCGTTCTTACACGCCTACTTGAACTCTTATTTGATGCGCCACTAGCACGCAATTCTGATCAGAACCGATTTGCGGCGTGATTGGGTAGTTGGGATAAGAGGGCCTCAGATTTTCGCCTGTGGCATTTATTATTGCTCAAGAATTTTTGCAAATTGGTGACCAATAATTGGTCGTAAAAATGATTTCGATTGATCATTATGAAAAAATTTACAAATTAAAGCGAAGGCTTCAATGACTAACCAGGTTTTTGGCAGGATGTCATCCATCCTATCCAAAAGAATTGAACCCATTTTTTTAGAGGAAAAAACGAGAAGAAATGCGAAGTAAGACAGGCGAATACGAGCTGAACACAATAACTAATTTACAGACGGCCCCAAGTAGAGGTATGTTAGGGCGTAGTCACCTATTTTGCTGCAGGCATCCAAACTAAGTGCTACTGGAACACAATATTGTTCAGTAAACAAATATATTGGGTTGGTGCATAATATCGTAGCGTTTTTTTTGGGCGTATAAATTCAATCAGTACAAGAGAAACCCTAAAAATCGCCTATACCTTTTGAAAGTGCTTTTTTCGCTCTACAAAAATTACTTCGTCATTTCCCTCAAAATTATATTTGTACTCATACATAATGCTTAGAAGTTGGAAAATCCAGACGGCAGAAATCGGCATTTCGACAGCTGTTATTTTTCAGTTCACATAAAGAAAAAAATACCGTCAAAACAAAAGTTCTTCAGAATCCATTGTTCTTATCGAACCTCTCTAACCAACCCTACATATTTCACTCAAATTAAGACCGTATTCATGTCGTACAAATTGCGAAATAATGAAGGACTTCGAGAGCGAGCCCAACATCTTTTTTTCAATTCCAAATCCAGTGACTTTCTGCAAAATAGGATAAAAGTCGTAAATAATGGCAAAGTGGACATCCCTGATTAGTTTTATGTTTTTAATTTCTTCACAAAACGTTTGCGTGCAAAAATGAAAAATGCAAGCGCTACGATATTATGCACCAACCCAATACATTTCTGTGACGTTAATGGATACAAAGTGTGTATGAAGCTTGTATGTTTAAGCAAGCACCGCGCATCAGTATGCTCATCGTATCACAAGGTACACGGCTAAACTAACTTTTTCAAGATCGCCCCCAAGGATACGCAATTGCGACCCATCTCGCAGTGGGAAACAAAGTACATTTGTATTCGATTTATTCATTCCCAGAATATGGAAAATAGGTGAACCAATAGATCGCGAGTGACATAAGAATGAGGAATATCTCATTGCACTTCCTCGGTATTCTTACTCCTCTGCCTTCCCCTCCCTTCCCAGCTTAACCACACGTCTGACTATAATATAGGGTGACCTGTTTGCCATATATTTGTCTGAGAAAATCTACGTGTTCATAGAGAATTTTTCTGGTAGCAATTATTCGATTCCGAAACAATGGAAGGCTTGGTTGGGTTTGACGACGTGCAAGGGGTATTGATCGCGCGCGCATGCACGTGAAATGGCCTCACGTCATACCCCCCCTTCTTCAACCCTCTACCCCATTAAAGCATACTATTTGCACAATTACATAGGCAAGCGATCGACATTATGAATCCAACGCCTTTTCAAGGTGAAAGGCACGCTCAGAACGCTAATCAAAATAGTTATCCCTTTGAGTCTGAGGATTTGCAAATCATCTCGGCTCAGCCATGTAGAACTCAGTGTTTTCGCTCTCCTAGACAGTCACACAGCAATGTAAGAACCCAAGGGCACGCTTTCGTGGTCTGGGCACGATTCGTTAAATCCTTGGCAAGTCTATGGGTGTTTATGTTTTTAAGCAGGACCATTTCACCTTCACCCCACGCACAAATGTAACCTGGTGATAAATTCAGCCTATTCCAACTATGTCAACAAATTCATGACACGGTACTGTCGACACGTGATCGTTTGGCCCTCGAATTGGAGCAGACCCAGGAGGAAGCTGAGCGAACCTGTCGCCAACAAATCAAGGAAATCACTTCAATTATGGTGCATTTTCTTTTCAACTTCTACCGATTCCTAATGCTAAATTTGGTCCGTATATGTTTGCAGGGGCCTATACGACTTTGTCTGCTGTCAGCACAGATTCTCTGCTCTTCGGCATCACCTATAGACACATTGCAACTTTCCAGCGAGCTCCATAAAAGGGTCCAGGTATGGTTTTGATAACCTTTATCAAGGATACGGAAGGTTCCGGAGGCAGAATAGCGGACATACGAACAAATAGCCCAAATTTACTGACTTTAGCTAGATTTACAGCCCCTTACAGCGGTGTATGTCATACAATGTTTTTGGAAGAACGCTCAAAGTCGGCTGCAAAGTGGTAGGCGTTAGAGGGCACGGAAAAGCAGCTACGCTATTCGAAGGCGATTCCGAGGGTAGAAAACTGAAGTAGATGATCCTTTTTTTCTAGTCTATTACATCACGATCAATTGACAAGCTGTCATCAGTCCGTTCGATTGACCCGATAGAAGCTCGCACGGAAATTGCTAAGGCTCTGGAGCCATTTCTTGGTAAGGTTTTGATTAAGTGTGCAACTGGTTAATGTTTTTTGTGCGGAGAAATTGACTTGCCAAAAATCCTATAGGCTTTTAATTCCGAGAGCTACTGACCAAATCTGGTTGCCTACATAGAGGTATAGTCCATGTGCTTTTCCAGGCTTGTCAGCTGCATGGTGCCCGATTGCCGTCGCCCGTGAAGGCTCGCAAGAGGGCAGTGGAAGCATGAAGTCCTTCAAAACACGTTCCGGGTAGGTCATGGTTGATTCTGTGATTCGAGAAAACACATCTTCTTTATTCACCTGATTAAGGTCGCACTCAATGCCAACGATGTTAACCAAATTCCAAACAATGATCGATCTTTCTGGAGCGTTCGGATCGATATTCGCAAGAGTTGAAGGTTAGCTAGAGTCATAAAATTCATTCAAGTGTTACTCCAGGTTCTAATCCAAAACTACTTCTACACCGCCTCCGTCCCATCTCAGAGTAGTCACATCACCTGTCACCTGTATCACCTGTCGTCCCGTTGATCGTCGATTTGCTCGAGCGGGCGCCAGCAACGTCTCTATTCGTCCCTGGCCGCGTCCGAGTGTTCCTGGATCTCAGACTACTCGAATACTGTAACGAAGACCGCTGTCTTCATTCCTTTCGTTCAGAGCTTTCGTGAAGAAGTCTGACCATCGGGCCGGCGGTCGTCCAGGTGTTCGTTTGACGTCCCGAGGGATCCAGTCGGTAACCGCTCTGGTCCAACGGTCATCGCAAAATCGCATGACGTGTCCGGCCCACCTTATCTTCGATTCCTTGGCGAAAACGGCAGCGTCCCTGATCTTCGATCCGTTGGCAGACTTCGATCACTAGAGTATTCACCGATTCTCAAAACTCAGAATCCGCGTGGGGGGGGATGAGAAAATAACTATTTCTTCTCCCCATCCACAAATTAAATACTGGCTTCGATTAATTAAGAACATGGGGACGTTGAGAGCAACAACGAACCGCAATTCGCGAACGGTAAAAAAAAAAGATGTGCTTTAGTCGGTAATCTGCTTGGTCCAACGGTCATACGCAAATGGAGTGATCGTATATTGTCAAAAGGAGGAAAAGAAGATAGAGTCAAGTCAGGATTACTGGGTTATCAAGGAAGACCTCTTTTCATCTGGTCGTAATTCAAAAAAGGGTATAGTGTTCAGAAAGGCGACGAGAAAGCCAGGAATCGTTTATCAAGATGCACCATGACTCTCGTCGCAATGCCTAAATAGCTGTTGACAAGTGCTGTCCATAGTCTGAACGGAAATTGATTGAATAACTTTTCAGAACCTTTAAAACAATTGTCGTCGCTGAGTCAACTGGGTGACAGGGTACAAGAGGCACAAAGGGATCTTACAATGAGACGCTGTCTGATTCGAGCCGATTCATCAACTCCATGATTAAAGAGTGGGTTTTATCCATATTATTTGGTGCCAGTTTTACATGTTAAATCCTTAACGATAAATGGTTGATTTTTTGGATGAATTTAAACGACATAGCAATTGATACTTAGTCAATCTAATGATATGAATCAGTACACCTGGACACTGACCAGGTCCAGTTCTGATGATAGATTTTTTAAGTTGCGCTGATTACGAACTCCACTGGACTACATCAGCTTTTGAATGATCTGCAGCCTGAATTACAACAGATGTGGCAAGAGCAGCTGGACAGGGTCAGAAGGCAGCAGATCATTTACAGAGAAAAGGTAAGGTGAGAAGCTCAGCGGTGTGCATATGGTCATTTTATTAATTATCTATCGATGTCTTGGAGACTGACAAAACGTCGCTACCACACGTGTTTTCCGTGGATCGATTCTTGGACTGATCCCTAGCACCAAAGCAGGTCCTTCTTCTTCGAGGGTAGGACAATCTGCAAATAGTTAAGAATGGAAAAGACTTTTGAAAGCGTGTCCTAGTTAAGCAAAAGGGAGGCTCATGAAGCGTTACTGTATACGAGAGCTATTAAGGACATAGAGAAAAGAGAGGGTCACTATCTTCGCCCACCTCGCGTCACCCCACCCTGCCTCGTCACCCTTCATCTCTATTCCATCTCTCATGCCCTCGTCTCAGATTCTTTCCCTCATGCACTTTCTTCTACGTTGTTATCCGCATACCTACCAGCCATGTAAGAATACCTTATTAGGTGTCTTCAACGACTTCCAGTGAAGTACGAAGTGAAATTGAGGCAGGGATAGCCGAGTGGTTAAGAGGTTAGACTCATGTCTGCACCTCTGAAAACCGCGAGTTCGATCCCTGCCGAGGCTAAACCATGCCTTGCAAAAATTGCAAAAATGGTTCTAGTACCAGCGTCAGGCCCAGGTTGACAGGCCGGCTGATGAAACCCCAGTCACACCAACCATGTCTTGTTCAAAAGTCGCAAACACGTAGCATCGCTACTCTTAATACTATGAACCATCCTACTCAGAGGTTGCAGACGTAAAATGTGCCTTTGACTGTAGCAGCTTTAATCGTCTGATGGGATGAAAGTTTTGGTTTCGAAGGCATTTGTGTACCAGTCATTGCATTTCATAATGCATACTACGTTTCGAGCGCAAATCAAATGCGTGGCACACTCGAAAAATCGATCAACGAAAAGCACTTCACCCCCTCACTACTCAAACCATCACATTGTGGGCTACCACATAACAAGAGGTGCATTTATCTGTGACGTTGTGATACTGTAATCGTTCAGATCGAGGAATGCTTGTCGATGCGAGAAACAGCCCGCCATGTTCTCACGGCCGCCAAGCAATTGCTACCGTATGCAGCTTGCATTGAGAGTATGAGTGCGCTGATCGATCCAAAGTAGGTTTTGCTCATGCTGTAATGGGTTTTTGTTTTATTTATCAGTATCATTGATATTTGCTGGTGCTCCGATTCGAGTACATATTGAAAGTACCCGACCGTTGGCCATTCTCGATTTTGGTGCACGAATCTAAAGGCAGGGTGATTTGACATATTTAGCAGAGGAATGTTCCTACTATCTAGGGAGAATAGGCTTCTGAAGGAACGAGGCATGACACTTTTGAGATTATCTATCCATTGTGCTTTCGTGGCAATTCCCGTCTGTAGGTAGAGGATTCGCCACTCGCCGGTTGAGCAATTGTGACAGTTTGTTGGTGGAGAGAAAGTAGAGAGACAGGCATGGCACGCACATCGGCATCGTCACCCATCGCGAACTCGTTCAGCAAGGAAATCGGTGGATAAGAAGGGATCCCATTTCTGAAATTCTGAGCTGTTTCTCTCGGTTTTCCCAGCGCCCCACCCACCTCTACCTTTATGTCCGACGATTTTAGCAGACGCTTTTTCGATTTTACCCGACCGGCTCCACAAAACATTTTTTTCAGGCGCTGCCATCCACCAGATCCGGCTCCTATGGAAAGTATTTGCATGCAAATTACTGGTATTGAACCGAATAGTGAGAGCAGAATACAGGCGATTGAGAAGGTTCGTTGACCACTTCGATACGAAAATGTTGCCACAGATATCGAGGCGACATTTTTGCACAGCAACATGCATCCGTGCTTTTCAGGAGGAGCAGAATCGAAGAGCTGTACAAGAGGCGAAAAAGCGTGAGGAGCTAGCTGAGCGAGGAACATCCGTGAAAAGTCTGAAACATGGAAAAGCAAAGCGGAAGGACACTAATAGGTTTGCCTTTTCTACTGGTTCTGCTTGGCCAAACATAATTAAAGCAACAACCGCAGATGAGATCGTGTCGAAAAATTATTCCGTAGGTAGGATAGAGTATTCCGCGAGTATCACAGTTGTGCCGTGGTCACGGCT